CTGTTTAATTTATTTTATTTTATTTTATTTTATTTTATTTTATTTTATTTTATTTTATTTTAATTTATTTTATTTTATTTTATTTTATTTTATTTTATTTTATTTTATTTTATTTTATTTTATTTTATTTTATTTTATTTTATTTTATTTTATTTTATTTTATTTTATTTTATTTTATTTTATTTTATTTTATTTTATTTTATTTTATTTTATTTTATTTTATTTTATTTTATTTTATTTTATTTTATTTTATTTTATTTTATTTTATTTTATTTTATTTTATTTTATTTTATTTTATTTTATTTTATTTTATTTTATTTTATTTTATTTTATTTTATTTTATTTTATTTTATTTTATTTTATTTTATTTTATTTTATTTTATTTTATTTTATTTTATTTTATTTTATTTTATTTTATTTTATTTTATTTTATTTTATTTTATTTTATTTTATTTTATTTTATTTTATTTTATTTTATTTTATTTTATTTTATTTTATTTTATTTTATTTTATTTTATTTTATTTTATTTTATTTTATTTTATTTTATTTTATTTTATTTTATTTTATTTTATTTTATTTTATTTTATTTTATTTTATTTTATTTTATTTTATTTTATTTTATTTTATTTTATTTTATTTTATTTTATTTTATTTTATTTTATTTTATTTTATTTTATTTTATTTTATTTTATTTTATTTTATTTTATTTTATTTTATTTTATTTTATTTTATTTTATTTTATTTTATTTTATTTTATTTTATTTTATTTTATTTTATTTTATTTTATTTTATTTTATTTTATTTTATTTTATTTTATTTTTTTTTTTTGTTGTTAATCATTTCAAATTTCCGCAAAGGCAAAGTGATAAATTCAGACGAAAGAAACATCTAAAGAAAACGTGTAAGCAAAAAAAATGCCCTGGCTCCCATGATAGTGTGAAAATAAAAAGATCAAAAAAACAGCGAAAAATTTGTGGTTTGTGCAAATTAGACGCTTGAAGAAGCAGGAAATACAAAGCCGCATCACCAGGAATGAGCCGACATTAATTTGCTGGCTTGTTGATACCCCAAAGACAGTTGGCAGTGCGCGAATGGAGTGGAAGCTGGCAGGTAAGCGCAACATCTTTTCCGCTGCCGTGGAATTTCATTTCGCGCAACACCTGGCATGCAAATACAAATGTAAAAGAAGTACAAAGACAAAACATGAAGTCGTCCTTGTGCACATTTGTATGCGTGTGTCTGTGTGTTATTACTTGAGCGCACACACGCGGCAAACAAATCGGTTTATCAAGATACAAAATTAAATCTAAAATTCAAATTTACAAACAAACGCCGACGCATACAAATAAAGCCATAGAGACAAATGGGGAATAAGTCTGTGCGCATAAAGGGAAATACACAAACAAATATTCAAATAAGGTTTGCTATGTGTTAAACTATTTCCATATGGTACTTGCGAACACATTACAGAGGGAAGTAGCTAAAATAAACATATTAAAAGTGGCGCAAAGGAAAACTTCTTTAAAGCAAGTGAAATAAAAAAGCATTAGAAGCTTTTCCGTTATTTTACTGCATATACGTGTATATTTGTAGCAATGTAGCAGCTGTAAATTTACACATGTAAATATATATAACTAATGTTAATTTGTATGCAGATCTGCTAATACGCACGTGTCCTACGCTCAAAAATCAGCAACTACACGCCATGCCTATAAATATACTTTTAGTGCTCATAAGTGCGTGTTTGTATGTACATATTGTATATATGTGCGTGAATGATAACTCACATTCATTGAAAACCAAACATTCAGCGGCGTAAATTTTTACGATCATACGTTAATACTTAGAATAAATTTCCAAACAGTTTCAGTGAGCGTGTTGAGTTGTAAATTTAAGAGCGTGCAGCGAAAGCAGCATATTTTTAGGCGCTCACAAGTACGTTAATTTTTACGGTGCTTTAATAGCATGGAAGGTCAAATTTATTACAAGAATTTTGAAAACAAATGGTTTGTGGATCTTTCATTAATAAATTATACTAAAATTTAACCTACTTCTAAAATTTTCGCGCTATCATCCTTTCCGCTCTTTCTAATCACGGGTTTATATTTTCGAGTTTCGGGTACCTTAACCTTGGAGATCGTAGGGCCTGCCTGGGCAGATTTATAAACTTATATTACAATCCAGATTAGACAGATTAAATTAATTAAATTAAACTAAACAATTAAATAAAAAATGAAATAAAACTGATATTAAGTTAAGTTGCTTAAATGAAAATAAATGAAAACGAAACTATTCAGTTTTCATTATTTTCAAAAAAATATATGGTCTAAGACAGTTCCATAAAATTAAAAACCCCAAAAAACATCAAATCAAATTCAATAAAGTAAAACCAATTTAGATATACTTAGATTAAGCTCAATGAAAAATTTAAATAAACTGCATAAAATGAATTTAAATAAGTTAAAGGTAAAATAATTAAATAAATTCAAATAAAATCGATAATTTTAATATCCGCAGTTTATTTAATTTAAGCATACAAAATCAAAATAAAAATATTTGAAATTAAAAATAAATGCAATTATAAAAAATAACAAACTGAGGTAACCTTTAATTGCGTTAAATTATTATTAAAATAATGTTACATTAATTAAATCTAATTTAAAAAAAATAATTTTACGAACTAAACCCAAAATAAATTTAACTTAAACCCAATTAAAAAAAATGAAAATAAAATAGCATAAAATCAAATAAAATTTAATTAAATTTAATTAAAATAAGTGAAAATGAAATTAGTTTTAATTAAATTAAAATAAAAATTAACTAAATAAACTCAAATGAAATATTCAAAAAGAAAAATTAAATTAAATTGTACTAAATAAGGATTTAATAAGTATTAAAAAAACAGGATTAATTAAATAAAGTTAATTTAAATTACATAAAGTAAAAATGAATAAGATAAAAAACTGAACCTAAGTTAAATAAAATTGATTAAAATAAAATTAAATTAAATGAAATTAAAGTAAAATTTTATTATACTAAAAAATCACTATTAAATAATTTAAATAAAGTCCAGTAAAGTTTATACTTTAAATAACATTAAAATAAGCAAACATAATTAAACAAAATTGATTAAAAAAGGGAAATTAAAAAAATAAATTTAAATCAGAGTTCAGTTAAATAAAACAAAATTGATAAATTAAAGTTAGTTTTTAGAAAAAAAATTGTATTTAAAATTATATTAACTAAAGTAAGCCTCAATGGGAAAAATTTGACTTAAACTCATTTAAAAATAATCGAATAAATTGTACTTTAAATAAATTTAATTAAATAAAAACAAAGTAATAAAAATATAGTTAATAAATCGATATTAAGAAATTTAATTTTAAAGTAAAAAAATAGAAATCCTTTAATAAATTTTAAAATAAAACAAAAACAATTAAATCAAGTTTATTCAAATAAAAAAAAAAAATTAAACCAAATAAAGTGAGCCTCAATAAGATTAAATTAATTGGAACTCTATTAAATATAAACGAATAAAATGTACTTAAAATAAATTAAATTAAATAAAAATGAATCAAAATTTAATTAAAACATAATTAATTTAAACTAAATAAATTAAAACTAAATAGTCAAAATCAAGTCAGATAAAATTTCAAATTTAAATAATAATAAAATAAAACTAAAATACTCGTGCAACTAACTGAAACTTAATTGAGAAAAGTGAAATTAATTAAACTAAGAATAAAGTAAATAGCAGTTCATTTACATGTTTTTGAAAAAAAAAAATTAATTAAGTTAAAATCATTTAAATAAAAAAAATCCAATGAATAGATTAAGGGGAAGACCTAATGGGAGATTTCAAAAAAAAATCGATCTTTTTTCATATTTCGGTAGATTACACCTTTAAAAACAAAATATTAAAATAGATATCTCAAATATTTTTTGAGTTATAGCAATTTAAAGAGCAGCCGCTCGGCAGCTAGAGAGTTTCATTAGGTACGAGACGTACCTGAGGTATTTTATCTTTAAACGAATTTTTCTCGCAACAGCATTTTCCGAATTTGCTGCAGCGATTACTGAAAAACAAATGATCCGATCGCTTTCGATTTTTTTTACATGTTCTATATATAGTTCTCCGTACAATTACTTATCGATTTTTGATCTGATCGAAGAATCGAATTTTGGCCGACCAAAAACGACCAAAAACGACCAAAATTTTGGGTAAAATTCGACTATTTTTTTAAAACGCCGCCATATTGTCAATTTTTAATTTTTTTATCGTAGGTCATTGTTAATACAATATTATCTAGTTTAACAAGATTTTTTTTTAGATTTCATTCACGAAGAAGGCTACTGCAGTGATAGTGAAGGACCTTTTTTTCGCCCCGTTGGAGATCGACTATAACTTAAAAAATATTTCATTTTTTTATTTAAAAATTTCACTGTATATTTTTGAAACATGTATAAATATATTTTTAAAATTTTGAAATAATTGATGAAGTATTTTCTTTAATAAAAATTTCCAAAAATCACCTTTTTTAGACCATTACACTAGGTGTGCCCTTTAATTAAAGTAAATAAATAAATCTCAGTAAGATAAATTTAGACATATAAAGGAAAAAATTAATTGAAATAAATTTATATAAAATATTAACTTACTAAATAAAAAAGCTATAATTTTAAAAAGATAAAAACAAGCAAGTAATCAAAAATTATACATAAAATAACAATATAAAGAAAATTAAACTAAATTAAAGTGAAATTAAGTGCCAAAAATAATCTTTCTTTGGTTTTTTTTTTTTCTTTTTCAGTTGATAATAAAATTTATTTAATTGATTGTTAAATTAACCCTAGGATTTTTAATATGATATAACAGCTGAATAAAAATAATAATTATAAATATACTAGTCACAAATAAACAATATACATATAAACCATTTCTTTGATACAAATTAAATTAACCGGAAGACTCAGAGCTTCCGATTGCCCTTTGTCATTATTATCTCCATTAATACCGCCATTAACCGAATCTTTCGATTTCAAAGAACCCGACGAAGATGGCTCTGAAACAAAGTGGAAGTTAGAGAATGAAGTTTTCCTTACATCGAGTATATTCAAACTGAAGCTCACGTCATGTAGGTCTGCGATTTTGTAAGACACTATTGGACCTTTGATTGTCGTAGGAGGATGCAAGAATTCCTGAATCATCATCAGAACTTGAGCTAAGGTTTAATTCTGTACTAATATAAGTGTTTTCAGGAGCAGCGGGCAACGAACATTGAACGAAATTCGGCGTGGTGAAAATGTTAGCGTTGAAAGGTTGGAATCGTAAACGCTCTTGTTTTAGTGCACTCTCCATGTGTAGCTGGCGTTGTAGGTTTACTGCTGAATCCGGATTTTCATATTCCATCACGCGCTGAATAAGATGAACTCGCACGTCATGCCAATAATCTAACAAAGCTCTCTTCCTCAGCTCTTCATCGCTGTATATGGTGCGGTAGCTGTAATGACAACGAGCAAAAAGCTCAGCGCGTTCTTCACTGAAAAATTGGGAAGACCTTAATTGTTCAAGTAGTGACCAATGTGTGTCCGTTAGGTTTTTGTTATGTGTATGGAGTCTGCTGTATACATCCTCAATTTGATTGAGTTTTACTCTGTATTGCCATCTCTGCATTTCGCTGGATATGGGTGGGTATTCATGGCCATAAAATACAGGCAGGGAAGTGGAAATGTACGGCTTATACCTCACAAGCAGTTGGTAAGCAGTTGGATGCTCTGCTTGCTTGTACTCTCCGATTTTGGACAAATCAAGTTGTCTACTGGTAATTAAGAACATTAATTGGGCTAAGGAGTGCTCTTTCTGTTGTTGGCTTACCTCCGGGAATTTTGAGAGATCAGTAGTATCAATAAGGTGTGTGTGTGGTTGCAGGTGTATTTGCTCGATCAATTGCTTTTGATTGAAGTTCACCGAGTGTGGTAAGGGAGCTGTTGTTTTGTTGTCAACATAATTAGTAGCTTGAACGCCAACTTTATCCTTTGACTTCAACACAACATTTGCATTTTCCTTTGGCAGTTGAGCGTACGGTAACTTTGGTGCTTCGTTTCCAGACCACAACGAGTTATTAATTTCTTGAATTGAGTTCGAAGCGGAATTTTTGCCAGTGCATTCAATATAACATCCTTCAGGCTGGAGTGCGGAGCTTATTGACTCAATTATTCGCTGTTTCTTCGAAACATAGGTTGATGGGTCACATAGATACCGTTTTAGGCTGCTGATGGCTTCTGTATCGCTTTTCTGTGGCCTACGAATTTCTAGCGGCCTGTGTTGATTATTTCCAAAGCTTGTCTGTTGGTATAAAATTGATTGGCCAGCTTGCTCCTGTTTTTGTTCTTCATTAGCCGCGGAACTCAAAATATCTGCTAGTATTTGGTCCACTGCTGTTTTCGTCTTATCTCTTTCATGTGTTGCGATTTGGGTCGCCTCGATAATTTTGTTTTTTTCGAGCGCATTTACTCGCTGCATTTTAACAGTTTGTAATTGTGGTTCTTCAAAATCTCGGCTTAAGCTTATGCCGATGTCCGCGGAGTCACTTCCAGTCGAACTGTACTCCTTCGTATCTAACAACATTGAAGCGGCTTTGTAAATTTTGTTAAGCCTCACTTCCTCTCGTTCCTCCTCGGTGTAGTAGGGCCAGTCCTCGTCCACATCATTCCAAATGCAGTCGCGTAAGCTGTACACATCGTCCTCAAATATCGCAATGTCTTTTAAGCAATTATTTATTTCAGATTTATCGCAGTCAGATAAGCCATCCTTCGTTAGACGCTCGTAGAGGTCATCCTTCGTAAATGGATCTATCGCCAATATGTGCACCAAGCGCTCGTGGAGTTTAGGCTGTAATGTGGATTTGGGGGCTTCGGCTTTCTGCTTGCTGTTTGAGTTTTGCTCCATCATGGGATTACTTCTAGACAAGTTTTCTTCATCTTTTTCGTTGTGAGTCATAGATGCGTGTGCAGTGTTTAGATTATTGTTCATACTCATTATTCGTCATAAATTTTTTGGTATTGCTATATCATGATGTGTAAATGTAAAAAATGTTCACTTAAAATATCAGCTTCGTCAATTTGCCTTAATGTTTCAATATTTCTCTAAATACGCATTTTCACAAACTTATGTTGAGTACTGAAATGAGAGCTGTTGATCTCGTTATGTGTATCCTGGACGCAAGATCTTTCTTTGGTTAAGTTTCAGAAGACAAATGTGGTGGTATATAATCCTGGCAGTAGAGCGCAAGAAACTTTAAAATATAATAAAAGGTAATCAAATTAAGTCGAAAATAAAAGAAAATGATATATAAATACGAAATAAAATAAAATGAATGAAATAAAAATATAATAATATAAAATTTTAATTGAAAATTGGAATGAAAAAAAGATGAAGAAAACAAAATAAAGTCCAGTAAAATGAAACAAAATAACCTACAACAAAACAAAATTTAACTAAGCTAAATTAAATTAAATTAACTGAAGTTAAACAAATTATAATGAAATGAAAAAAAATCAAATTAAAAAAATTAAACTAAATAAAATGGAATAAAATTAAATTAAATCAAAAAAAAAATTAAAGGAAATAAAAGAAATTAAATTAAATAAAACAAAATAAAATAGAATTTAATTAGATCAAAGTATAATAAATAAAAAATAAAATACAAAATAAAATAAAACGAAATAATTTAAAATTAAATTAAATTAAATAAAAAGTAAAAAAATCAAAGGAAATGAATGAAAAAAATAGAATTAAAATAAATTAAAGAAATAAATATAATATAAAATTATAGAAAGGTAAGCGAAATAATTGAAATATTTTAATAAAAATAGAACAAATTAAAGGAGCATAAATAAAAATTAAATAAAAATTCAAATCGAAGCAAATAAAATAAAGTAGAATAAAATTAAATTAAATTAGACTAAATGAATTAAAATACATTAAAGAATAAAATGAAATTAGATATAATTAAATCAAATAAAAAAGAAAATCATATGATATAAATTAATGTAAATTAAAAAAATAAAACAAAATAACTTAAAGAGAATAATTAAAGATAAAAAATTAAATGAATGAAAAAATGATGAAGAGAACAAAATAAAGCCCAAAGAAATAAAAAAATAACCTTTATAAAAAAAATTTTAACTAAGCTAAATTAAATTGAAATAAATTAACGAATTATAAAATGAAGAAAAATGAAATTAAGAAAATTAAATTAATTGAATAAATTAAATGAATTATTTATTAAATTATTAAATTATTAAATTTAAAAAAATATAATATAAAATAAAATAAAAAAAAAATAAAATGAAACGAAATAAAATAAAATTAAACAAAACCAAATAAAAGGAAATGAAATAAAATTAATTAAAGTTAAATAAAACAAAATAAAAAATAATACAAAACGAAATAAATATAAAATAAAAGGAAATAATTGAACAAATTTATTATTAAAATTATTTAAAAACAATGAATAATATAATATTAAATTTAAAAAAAAATTAAGCTAAATAAAGCAAATTAAAAGAGAAGAAATTAAATAAAAATTAAAATGTAAGGAAATAAAATAAAGTGGAATAAAATTAAACTAAATCAAATAAAAAGGAAAATCATCTGAAATAAATTATGATAATATAAATGAAAAAAATAAATAAATTAGAAATGGATTAAAGAACATTGAACAATAACTTAAAATAAAATTTAAAAAAAGGAATATGTAAGCTAATAATTGGAATATAATGTGTAAAAAATATCAAAATGAAAACAAAGAAAATGAAAAAGATAAAACAAAAGAAAAATAACATAAAAGAGTGAAATAAACTAAACATTGAAAAATAAAAATAATCTAAGAAGAAGTAAAATAAAAATAAATAAACTAAAATAACATAATATATTATAGTATGTAATAAGGAAAAATTAACTTAAATTTAGCAAAATAAAATATTTTTTTATTTATAGGAGCACAATATTTTTTTAAATAAAATTAATTACAATGAAATAAAATAAAAGAAACTTCTTTTCTTAAAAGTAAACAAAAATAAAACAAAAGAAAGCAATTTAAAATACACTAAATCAAGGCAGAGCAATAGAAAATAAAAAATGAAAAGAACTTAAATATATTTATATAAAAAATAAAAAAATTATATTCAACAATGTAAAATATTTATTCAAGTAAGGTAAAATATAGTTGTGTAAAATAAACTCTTATAGGATAAAAATATAAGCTAAATTAAATAAATTCAAATAAAACTAAATAAAGCAAAAAAAAATACATAAAATAAAGGAAAACTAAATAAAGGTAAACAAAACAATGTAAACGCAATAAAAAATATAATTAATAATTTAATATAATAATAAATAAGTTTATAATAATTTTAGTATAATAAAATATGTATCATAAAATAAAACTAAAAAGCAAGATAAAATAAAATCATAAATCAGTTAAGGCAAAATAAAATAAAATAATAAATGCAAGATAATTTGAAATAAAATGAAAAATTAATTGAACAATTAAAATTAAAAATAAACAACAACAAATTAAAATAAAATAATAAATTAAATTAGAAATTTCAGTAAAATTTAAGAGAATAAAATAAAATAAAATATAGAAAAAATAAAATAGGAAAATGAATTTGTCTTACGCTATTTTCTTCCAACAAAAGTAAAAAAAAATATAAATATTAAAACAATTCTTATCCTCAAGCTATCTTTTAGTGTGTTGAACCCAAAGTAACAAAAATTGAAAATTGAGCTACTTAAGCTAACAGAGAAATTATTATTAATAACGCCGCGATTGAGCGTTGATCGATTTCTAATTATTCATGCTCTGAGAACATGAGAAATAATTTGGCACACCCCAGTTATATTTTCTCTTTACGTTTTTTTATTTATCAACATAAAAAAATTCTCTTATTATTATATATTATCAAGCGCACATAAGCATTTATATGCCAAGAAGAAGAAGCAGAAGTAGATAAATCCTTGTATTCACTCTTATTCAATGATCACTCTCAAGTTTTTTACTTACAGCATTTCAAAGAAGAGCATAAATTCGTTTACTCACTCTCACTGCTCTGCTTATAAATTTTCTTTGCGTGCTTTTTTAAGCTCAATTTCTTGTGCCAGCGAGCGAATAACCGCACATACACACATATATTCCGTTTTGAGATCTTGTCGCTGTAATCTGAATTTTCTCTTCATTAATTAGCTGAGCTTATGGACTTACTCGTATGTACACGTATGTACAGGCGAAAAAATTCTTGGCGGTGCCAACATCAAGATTATTTCAACTCACTCAATCTACCTTCGGCGGATGATTTACAGTTGTTAAAGAGAGTTTTCGATAAACATATGCAAATATATTTACATATATTTATATACACGTATATATCAACTAATATCTAAATAAAATTTAAGAGTACTGCAATCCCATCCCAGTAGAATTTTTTTCGGCACACTACTACACCCAAGCTCACTTAGCACTAGTTCGCAAATAATTGCTTTTAAAGTGTAAAAAATATATATTTAGCCAGATAATTTGCATCGAGCTAAGGAAAAGACTTTTTAACCAAAGAATTTCTGTTGGTCATCAGAATTTCTTTTAAAGTTAATGAAAATAAACCTTGAATTTAATCATTTCCTGTCATCTCATAGAAGACTTAATAAGGAAACCGATAAAAAATATAAATTTAAAAGACAAAAAGTTATAAATTTAAACAATGGTTATTTCCTTTTATTTATTTTTTGTTTGGGTTACCAATCAACAACAATAAATGTGGCTCCTTTTGATCGCAGTAGCTGTTATAACAAAGAAGTGTGAAATAAAAACATCAAATCACTAATTTCAAAGTATTATTATCTTTTGATGACGGTTGGCACAAAGTGAATGGTTACTTTGTTCGTTCAACTTTGACCGCAACATTTTGTTTGTATTTCAGCAACAATTGAAAATTTAACTTGACAGTTTATGCTTACAAAGATAATACGATGAAAAGATCTCTTGAATATTTTGCAGCATATAACATATTAAGCGATAACTATATTATATATCTTTTTTATTTTATTTTATTCTATTTTATTTTATTTTATTTTATTCTATTTTATTTTATTTTATTCTATTTTATTCTATTTTATTTTATTTTATTTTATTCTATTTTATTTTATTTTATTTTATTTTATTTTATTTTATTTTATTTTATATTTTATTTTATTTTTTATGTGTTTTTTCCATTTATATTTATATTAAGAGCGGTTCAGCGCGGTTGTGCAATTTGGTAAGCCAATGGGTTTTTCATGATTTTAACATACCCTTCGCCAAAGCAGAAACAATTTTTGTTGTTATATTTTTTCTCCTCTCATCAAACGGGCTTAAGCAAGAAAGTTTCATTATTATTATTTTAACACCTTTTTGTTAGTATTATTATTTTGTTTTTTTTTTTCATGTTAATTTTGGGTTCTTTTTCTTACTTCGTTTGTCCCTTTATAATATTGTTGATTATGGCATTTCAGTGATTAGAAGACTTTTCTGCAGACTTTTTCGCCGAAAAATATTATAAATGAAAAGTGGAGAAAAACTTCAGCTTTAATAAGGCCATGGGGGCTACCTAAAAGGTGTCCACGTGTTTAATTGTGGAAATTTTCGTGTAAATGCCGTGAAATTTCTCGCAACTTAATTATCAATACGAAAATTTGATTGCAAAAAGGTTTCAAAAGGCCTCGGCTTACGACTAGCTCATTGACATACATGTAGGTATAAACGGCTGTCAATGGAAGGCAGGGAGATGAGGCTGATATAATAAATTTTTATACATGTGTATAGATTTTCAAAAGGTAGACACAGACATTCCTTTGGTACCAGCTTCAAAATTATTGATAAAAAAATTAATATTTATTTAATACCATATTTATACAATATGAGTTTTCCTAATTACATACATTGTCCTGTGTATAGGCAGACCCTTGCTGTTAGTATAGCCAAATTCATAAGCAAACATCGGCTTTTAAACAAAAAATCTATTTTTTATGCACTACAAGATTCTATAAGCATTTGATTTTGCCATCCTCCCGCCACGTGAAGACCACATCAAATTATTTCAGCAACTGTTTCACTCGTTCAGGTGTATGAATTGTGTAGTACCGATTCCCTGCGGTTCAATTTCGTAACGCATGTGTGTAAGATATATATTTGCTTGTAAAAATATATAGTAAGATGTAGCCTCCCCTACCTCGTGGTATTCACGCAGCTGGCGTTACGGTATCTGAAAACTAACGCTACGAGACCTGATTTCTTTTTATTTTGTTTCCTTTTTTTGAGATTTTTTATTACACACATTGCGCTGCGCAAAGTCGAAACGTGTTGGTATGTCGATTTTGTATGGTAACTTTACCTTAGATATTAGGAAATGCCTCACGAACTAAACGTGGCGGAAAAATTAATTTTTTTCCTTCAGCAAACACGTGCTTACCGCTTTCACTTGTGCACTTGTCAGGTTCAGCGAATGAGAGGGTGTTTAAGTGAAATCCTTGCTTCATACGAGAATGGAGCAATTGACGATACTCGGGACTGAAGGACTTTAGTGAGAGTAAGAGCAACTCTGAAATTTGTAATATCTTCAACGTTTAAAAAAAATACAATCAAATAAAATAAATCAAAATTAAATGAAAAAAAAAAACATTATAAAATACATAGCATAAATAAGTAAATAAAATAAAATAAACAAAATGAATAACAAAATATTTTGTTTCATTTTATTTAAAAATCAATAAAATAAAATAAAACCTTTTAAATTAAAGTTGGAATATAAATAAAATAACTTAAAATAAAAGAAAGCAAAAAAAAAAAATATAAAAAAAAAAAAATTAAACGAAATAAAAGAAAGGAAAATAAAATAAATTGTAATAAAATGAATTAAAAATATTTTGTTATTCATTTTGTTTANAAGCAAAAAAAAAAAATATAAAAAAAAAAAAATTAAACGAAATAAAAGAAAGGAAAATAAAATAAATTGTAATAAAATGAATTAAAAATATTAAAATAAATAAACCGAAGTAAAATTAAACTTAATAAAATTGAAAAAAATAAAATACGTTTAAAAAAAAATAAATTAAAATAAAAAACAAACAAAAAAATATCATAAAACAAAAGAAACGATAAAATAAAAGAATATAAACAAACACATATAATTAAATAAAAAAAGAATTAAAAGAAAAATAAATAGAAAATCATAAATAGAAATAGAAGAATAAATAGTAATAAAATCAAAAATTATCTAATTAAATAAAATAGAATTAAATAAAATAAATCAAAAAAATGTTTTAAATAAATTTAATTAAATAAAAAATAAGTAAATTTAAATAAAATAGAGAACAAAAATAAAAAAATACAAATAAATTAAAATTAAATAAAGAAAAATAAATTAAATTATAATAAAATAAAATAAGATTATATAGATTTTAATAAAATTAAATTAAATAAAAAATGTAAAGTAAATTAAATTAGAAACAAAAATAAAATTATATTAAAATAAAAATAAAATTCTACCGGAATGTTAAAAACAAATATTAACAAATATTTAATAGCTTTAAAAAAGAAATGTGAATATTTTTTTTTTGATTTTCGGGATTAAATACACTTACGTTTGAGTTCAATTTTTTGCTGCTGTCTACGCTTACGCAGATGGGCTAGTGCGCGTATAAATGCGGTTGATTTTAGTCACGCCTAGTATGTTGTCAAACCAACGAATTGCAACCGTTAATTGCTTGCAATTAAATATTGTACGCCCAGCTATTTGAATGACTTTTGAAGAGCTCATGAAAACACGTTTCTTAAAATTTTCATTTTTTTTCCTTTAGTTATTTACTTTCCAACTTAAAGTTTTCTAGCAACATTTTTGTTAACCAAAGGCCGTTAGGCAGTTCTGACGCGTGTGCACGTTGTCATTATTATTAGCAGTGTTTGTAGTTCCTAAATGTATGCTTCATAAATTATTAAGAAGCTCGTGAAAAATCTTTATGACTTCAATGGAATTTTTCTTTGTAATTTTTTTATTTGTTTTCCCTTCTTTTCTTCACCAGCAACAACTCCGAATTTGGCTTTTAATGACATTTTTCTGTTTTGTTATTTATTCGCTTTGTTTTTTCTTCCTCTTCTTCTTTATGTTTTTCTTCCATTCCATCGGATTGTTTCGTATTGTGTTAATCATTTGTTCACACACTTTTTAGTTTAATTACCTTTATACCATTTCCGCTCTGTGCAAATATTTCACTATAATAAATTTTTTTATTTTTTTATCACTTTTTTATTTTAAAGAATTTTGTTTTAACATAATTTAAAATAATATTAAATAAATTAATAACAATAATAATGATATTATAAAAATAATAATAAAAATCAAATAAAACAACAAAAAAATGCACTAAAATAAAATAAAAATGCATAAAATGAAGCATAAAATGAAAATAAAATTAAAATAAAATAACAGCAAATTAAATAAAAAAAGAAAAAATAGAAATAAAATCAAAAAATGAAGTAATATGGATAAAAATAAATAAAAAGCAGAGTTAAAATAAAAAGAATGAAGTAATATGAATAAAACAGAAAACAGAATTAAAAAAAATAAATTTGATTGTTAGTAAGTAAAACAAAAAAATTCAATTTTTAACATATTTAGAAAAAAATTAAATTGAATAAAATAAATTACAACTAAGTATAATAATGTTAAAACCAAAATTAATTGAAACAAAAATTAAAATTAATTCAAAAATTTAACTAAATG